GTGTTTGAAAACCACTGACCAGTGTGTATAAATAGTAGCAAGTGTGGCTTCTTCCTCCAGGACGACTGTGCCTGAGACTGCTCCCTACAGAGACTTCATATGGAAACCAGCAAGCCCCTCCCCTTCTGCTATACATAATAAATGTGCCGAAGTTATGAGCTGCAGAATTCATCAGAGTTTGGATAGCTCACCTGACGCTGGCCTTTCTGTACATATATCTGTCCTTTCTTCATTTCCTCACCAGCCTAGTCAGGCTTCCAGATTCAAGCCTCATGGGTGGCAGAAATATCCCAGTTTTCAAATACAGCATTTGTTTTGATTCTTTGATTTTTGAGTTCTTTGTTATATATAATATTTAATATATCTATATATTGAATATTAACCCACTGCCAGATATACAGCTAACAAGATTCTCTCCTGCTCTGCGGGCTTCTTCTTCACTCAACTGATGTTTCCTTTACTGTATGGAAGCTTTCCTGTCTTTATGAGGTCCTACTGATCATTTGTTAGCTTTAAATCCTTGACAAACAGAGTCCAACTCTGAAAATGCTTTCCCACACCTAAATCTTGGTCCACTAAAAGCATTTTCTTCTAGAATTTTCAGTGTTTAGGGATTAACACCAAGTTCTTTGCTTCATTTGGAGTTAATTTCTGTGCAGGTGGGAAGACATGGGCCTAATTTCATTTTTTCTACATATGAACATCTGGTTTTCCCAGCACCATTTGTTGAAAATGTTGTCTTTTCTCCAGTGTGTATGTTTTTGACATTTTTTCAAACATCAGAAGGTGGTAGTTGTGCACACTCATATTTGGTTCTGCTAGTTGTTCTATTGGCCTATGTGACTATTTTTATGCGGGAACCATGCGTTTTATTTCTGTAGCTAAGCAATATACACCACAAATTTCAAGTGATAAACCTTCCAACACTGTTCTTTTTTGGCTTGGGGTTGCTTTGACTACCTAGGAATTTTTGTGGTTCCATATGAGTTTCAGGATATTTTTGTCTGTCTCTGTGAAATATGTTGAGGGGTTTTGGCTGGGATTGCACTGAATCTGCAAGTTGCTTCTTTCAGAATGGTTATTGTTTTATATTAATTCTAAAGAGCATGAGAGGCCTTTCTATTTTCTCATCTTCCTCAATTTCTTCAAAGATATAAGGTTTTAATTGTAGGTCTTTGACCTCCTTTGTTAGATTTATCACTAGATAGATTTTTTTGAATGGGAGTATTTCCATGATCTCTTTCTCAGCATGTTTGTTGTTGATATATAGAAAGGGTACTAGTTTTTGTAAGCTGACTACAAATTCTACCACTTTGCTGAATTTGTTAATCATCCCCAGAAGTTTTCTGTTGTAATTTTTGGGGATCTCTTATGTATAACACCCTGTGCAAATAGGAATGATTTTACTTATTTTTATTTCTTTGATTTTCTTCTATCTGACTGCTCCAGTTTTAGAGCAATTTTACTGAAAAGGAATGGGGGTGGTGAACAGTCCTGTCTTGTTCCTGATTTTAGTGGAGTTGCTTGGAGATTTTGTACAAATATTGGCTGTGGCACCGATTCTTTGTATTATTTTTTTGGTCCTATTTTATTAATTTTTACTATTTCTTCTCAAATAATGGATTTGGGATTGGTTTGTTCTTTTGTGTCCTAATTTTTGATTTATGTTAAGTCATTTATTTGTGCTCTCTTATTTTTTTTTTAATGTAGAAGCTTAGAGCTATAATGTTTCCCTCATAGGACTGATTTTCAATGTGTCCCAGGGGTTTTGTTTTGCTGTTTTTATTTTCACTTAGCTCCAGGATAACTTTGCTTTCTTGATTTCTTCTTTGACACATTCATTATTCAGTAATGTGTTGTTTAGTCTTAATGAGTTTGTGTAATTGAGATGTATCATCAGTTGGGTCAGATAGGATAAACAAAGTTATTTTAACTTTCCTAAATTTAAGATTTGTTTTGTGTCCCAGTGTGCAATCTACTTTAGCAAAGCTTCTGCTGGAAACTGAGTCTAATGTGTATTCTCTGGTTTAGATGGAGTACTCTGTAGATATTGCTAGGTCCATATGTTTGATGTCAATTCTAATATGTCTCTGTTATATGCTGTCCAGGTGACCTGTCTTTTATTAGAGACAATAAGGTATTGAAATCACCTATTAAAGAGTTGAAGTTAGTCTGTGTCTTGAAGTCCAATAGTATATTTTTTATGAAATTGGGTGTCCCAGAGTTTGGTGCATATGATGTTTTAAACAGCAATGCCTTTTGGTTAGACATTCTATTGATTAGAATGAAGTGGCTTTCTCTATCTCTTCTGATTAGTTTTAACTGAAAATTTATTTTGTCAGATATTAGGTTCTTGATACTTCCTGGTTTCCTGGACCCATTTACTTGGAATAATTTTTCTGTCCTTTCCCTTTAAGTGGGGTTTCTCTTTAAAGTTGAGTTTCTTGTAAGCAATGGAAAGATAGTTTGTTTTGTAATTCACTCAATTAGTCCTTGTCTTTTTATTGGAAATTTAGGTTATTAATATTTAAAGTTATTATAAAGTAGAATAAGGTAAAAAAAAAAGACCAATTATTAGGTTTAATTAAAGCACCGTTTGTACTATTCATTTCCAAGTATGACTTCATTTTGTTACCTGAAACAGAATGACCTGAAGAAATATCTAAAACACAATAGTTTGTTGCTGTTAATGACCCGACCACAAAAGCGTACACCATCCAACTATAACATACACCTTTTTTAAAAAACCAAAAAGCTGAGTGCCATATATGCTCCTGTAAAATCTTGCTTGCTTGCTCACCACACTGCGGCTTAGAGTATCAAATGAGAAGGCGGAATGGGCCTGGGACCAAGATTTCAGGAGCTATCCTGGCTTCAGGGCACCAGAGAGTGCAGCTTCTTTATTCCACTCTCATTGGTGTCCAAGTGCTTATTCCAGAAAGATGCCCACAATGATTATTGAACATGGACAGGGATTGCTGTGATTCTGTTGTTTTGTTGTTGTTGTTGTTGCTGCTGTTTGTGTTCTAGTTATATTTTGGGTGTCAGTCATTATAGCTTCATGTGATTTCTTTTGGTAACCTCTTGGCTATTCATTCTTATTTATAACTTCCAACTGAAGCATTGCTTCCAGTATTCTCTGTAGGGCTGGTTTGATGGACATGAATTATTTCATCCTGTTATTATCATGGAATGTGTTTTCCTTATCCCTCAAATATGGCAGGCAGTTTTGTTGGGTACAATAGTCTATGTTACCCATGGTCTTTTAGAACTTAGAATACATTGCTCTGGGTTATCCTGGCTTTTGAAGTTTCCGTTGACAAATCAGCTACTATTCTGATGGGTTTTCTTTACATGTGACTCGTTGTTTTTCTCTTGCAGTTTTCAACACTCTTTCTTTGATCTGTATATTTCGTTTTTAATTATATGACATGAGGAATTTTTTTGCAGATTTTTTATTTGAATTAGAAACAAGATGGTTTTACATGACAATCCCAATTCCCTTCTCCCCCACCACCACCCCAACTAAAACATATCCTTTCTGCTCCCCCTGAATGGTGAGGCCTTCCATAGGGAGTCCTCAGAGTCTATCGTATCCTTTGTGTTAGGGCCTAGGCCCACCCCATGTGTCTTGGCTCAGGAGTATTCCTCTATGTGGAATGGGCTCCCAAATTTCACACCTATGCTAGGGATAAGTACTGAACTACTACAGGAGGTCCCGTAGATTTCCGAGGTTTCCTCAATGAAACCCATGTTCCTGGGGTCTGGATCAGTCCCATGCTGGTTTCCCAGCTATCAGTCTGGGGAGCAAGAGTTCCAAGAAAGACAGACAGGTCAGAAAAGTATGGCCAGGACAATTAAGAAATAATCTTTGTTATTAAAATTGGCCTCAATTATCTTTAAAGATTCATTCCATGACCCCCTTGGATGCCAAAATGTTAAGGATGCTGAAATTTCTTATAAAATGAACTAGCATTTGCATACAGCCTGTGTACATCCACAGTAAACGCTGAATCATCTCTAAATTGCTTATACCTAACACAATATAAAGGGTACTTGGATAGCACTTGTACTGCTTAGAAAACAATGATGAAATTTCAAAGTCTGAACATTTGATATAGGCACAATTGTGCATTATTAAAATATGTTCTGAGGATTACAAAGCCCATGATAGAGATGACTATATTGTATATTTCCTATTCAGTTACTTCACATGTCCAAATACTCCATAAATACAATGTTTCTGCTACCATAATTTATGTGCATTTCTGAAAATTCTCATATCTGACAAAATTTAACGCTAAAATAGCAAAGCTTTAAAGGAAATTTGTTAGGCTTATTTGACCTCAAATGTATGGAACCTCAAAGCACAATTAAAACAGTAGCAAATATTATTAGCCAATAACCTGGAGCAACCAGCCACCCACCTTAAAAGAGCAGCTGGCTCTATGTAGTTAGTAACTAAAATCAGACAATAGTATAAAACCCTATACAACAGAGAAAGAGCTAACAATGATTTAATTACAGTACACACACACACACACACACACACACACACACACACACACAGAGGAATCAAGTTGAGGCTCTTTCTTCTCAAGATCAAGGTCATAAATCTACTCCCAATATCTTTGTTCTCTTTGTCTAAGAAAATTTATACAAACCAACACCATGTCTGTCTTCTACAGACATCTTCCTGATATACACCAATCCTACAGGAACCAAGTGCCTAGCAGAGCAGAGCATACAGCAATTCATATTCTTAAGAATTCATCTGACCAGGCTGAATGGCCCTGGTGAGATGATTGTTGTTCATGACATAAAAAAAAAAAAAAAAAAAAAAAAAAACAGACCTTAGACCTTGGGTATAAGGGGGAGCAGGCAGGTCGGGGGGCTGGGCCACACCTGGGCTTTCCCTATCTATCCAATGATTCAGTCCTATCACTATTAAAGGCACAACGTTGAGCACAGCCAAATCAGCAGCAAAGCACAATACTTACATATAGTATGTGGGATAGAGTCCTTCAAAATACCAGCAATGTTTTTTGGCTTCTGTGCACTAGAAATAAAAGAAAAAAAAAAAACTTTTGTCAGTAATGAGTGGTTTGTACGCTACTGATTAGGTCTCAGGAAGTTAACAAGGAAAGAAAGGCAATGGAGGCAAGAATCCCATCGCCTTCCTTCAGAGATGTTTGCTTTTTCAAACCATTTTTAAAGGGAGGGAAACAGAAGCAACTATTTTTATAGCTTTATATGCCTCTAAATACACTCTGTACAAACATTTCCTTAAAAGGGTAAATGAGAGACAATCCTCTGTGTGTGTGTGTGTGTGGGGGGGGGGTGCCTGGAATCAAACCCAGGGCCCTGTGTACTCTAGGCAAGCACTATAACTAACGACTGAGCTATGCCCCAAACCCATTTAAAAAAATATATGATACTTTTATCAGAATAGTAAATAATGAATAAAACAAAGCACAAGGAACACTATTTCCCCAAAACTTTTGTATTTGGCAGACACCTCCCCCACACTGTCACCATGTCTGGATCTTTATTTGTCACAATATCACGAAAGTCACATTCAAACTATTCGCTCTACAGTGGGTGCTGGGCACTACAAGCCAGGTTTCCTGGGCAGCACATGAGAGTTCCAGCCCAGGTATTCCCTTAGATGCAAGAAAGGATATGGCCTGAGGGCCTGCCTCAGCCCCTCCTCCTATCCATCCAACTGTATCCCCTTGGGGCTGGGCCATCAAGTGACATTGACACAGCCCCCCCCCCATTCTTCCTTGATGCCCTCCTCAGCCCATCCTCCCAGGCCAACTCCATTCCCCTGGGACTCACCACTATCCAGGGCCAGACCCAGGGTTCACCCAGTTCTCCCTCTGCTGCCCTCCCCAAGACTTCCAGAGTCAGTGCCCTTCCTCCTAATGTCTTTAAGAGAGTGGAGGGCAGTGCTAAATCTCTGATCATTATTTGCCAGCATTATGTCAGTCATTGACTATTTTTGTACTAGACTGTGAAGGATTCTAAGCACTGTACTCTTTTTTTATCTTAAAAAATACTGCTTGTGAGAGCCTCATCCTCTACTTTCTGAAAACACTGATGAGTGCTTCTGAAAAGGAGAGTGTCCTTAAAACGCAGACTGAGCAGCTAGCACTTGGGGATGGATAAAGAGTCTAACAGAAGAGTTTAAGCATGCTGTTTCCATCACTAATAGCACTTCAGAGACCTTGACGACTTATTCCAAGCAATATTTCTTCCAGCCAAGCACTCTCTTGAACTATGGGGACATGCACACTGTAAGATGCAAGTTAGTCTGAACTGCACGTTCCTGAAAACTTCTGAGAGCACACATAACTTTGTGAATACATTTTCTGTCTGCTTTTGTGTTTCAATTAAAGATATGTATGAGAGCAGACACTGCAAGGACCTGCACTAGATTAGATAAAAATCAACTAAAGCCCAGTCCATATGTTGAACCCTCTCTGTCATCATTACCAGGGCTAAGAACCTATGGCAAGGCAGGTCTAGGCCCTAAGAGAGAACCAACTATCATTACTGTGCTAAATGGGCATAATAGTAAACCACTCGTAAGGATTTATTGCTATGCCCACAGATCAGTGCCTCTCTCAACCCTCATTTGAGAAGCCTCTTTCTCTTAACTAACATGGAGACCCACAACTTTTCAATGTGCAGAAAATAAGAGACTACAAGAGTACTCAGTCCAAAATGAGACATCTTTATCTCAGCCCCTCCTCCCAAGGCTCAGGGATCACTGATGCCCAGGGAAGTAGACAGATTGCAAGAGCCAAAGGCAATGAATACCTACAAGGAAACAGTATCCTACTGACCCAGGAGGGCAGTTGTACAAATTAACTCACAGCAGTGGCCGTAACATATACAAAACCCTTGTAAGCTCAAGCCAGATAAAATCCCAGCATGAAGAGGGGAGGTGGGTAGAAAGTGCTACCTATAGCTAAGGATCTACTGGCAACTTCTAGCCCCTGGGAGAGGGAGAATCACTCTTGTTAAAGTGTAGGCCTTGGGAGGTAAACCTGCTCCAGTGTGAAGGCCACACATACAAGAGTATATGGGCAATACAAACTGTATTTCACAGGCTTTAAAAATATGAGATCTCAAACTTGGGGAAGGAATAAATTGTGGAGGATTTGAGGAAGGTGTGAATAGAACAAAACTCCACTGTTCAAAATTATCAAAGAACTAATAAAAAATTTAAAAACTAACTTTCCAAAATAAAAATCAGAAATTTATAGCTTAAGACATATAATTTCATATTACATTTTCAATATAATTTAGCTAACTAAGTAGGCTGGCTAGTCTTATGCCAACATGACACACAAACTAGAGTTTCCTGAAAGAAGGAAAACTCAATTGAGAAAATGCCTCCATAGGTCTATATGTAAGGCATTTTTAAAATTAGTGATTGATGGGGGAGGGCCCAGCCCATAGTGAGAGGTGCCATCCCTGGGATGGTGGTCTGGTTCTATGAGAAAACAGTTTGAGCAGGTCATGGGAATCAAGCCAGTAAGCAGCACCCTTCCATGGCCTCTGCATCAGCTCCTGCCTCCAGGTTCCTGCCCTGCTTGAGTTCCTGTCCCAACTTTCTTTGGTGACGTAAAAGTATAAGCTGAATAAACCCTTTCCTCCCTGACTTGCTTTTGGTCATGGTATATCATTGCAGCAATAGAAACCCTAACAAAGACACAAAGTTGTTATAATATACCCAAAGGAAACAGTAGAAGGCATTTACCTTCACATTGTGGAGAAACATAGTAACTTAAGAATATTCTGCTAAGAAAGCCAACAAAATGGTATTTCTAAAGCTGCATATTTTTTCTTATACATTAAAAGAGAAATGAAATAATATGGAAAATGTCAACAAGAAAACACAACTGCCACCTCAAAGGAAATAATAAATAGTTTATTCTGGAGTCAAATATGAGTGACCAGGCCTAGGAACACAGATTCAGATTACTACAAATTCCAAGTTTCAATGTAGTAAAAGGTTAATTAAGTTTTTTTATAAACACAGAGCAAAGAAAGCCATAAATCAAGACATTTAAAAAAACACTTGTAGAAATGTTAGATAAAGCAAAATGGGAATCTCAACTACTGAACATGAATGCTATGTGATTGCATCCTTCACCTTTTGTTTGGTGGAAGCTGGCAGTCTATTGATATATTCGAAGGGTTTTTTTTTACCTGCCAGTCATGAGACTGTTAGGTCAGACACAAAAGTGGGTAAAAAATGGCTACTAAGGGGATAAAGATAACCTCAGATAAACTGTGATTAGAGTATGGACCTGCCACAATCTAGCCGTTCTACAATCACACAGGCTCTAATCAGTCTATCATCCCAGAAGGTCCAGTGAAAGGTACACCATCTTTCCAGAAACACCTTTATAAAGGCATGTGCTGTTGAGAGCCAGACCAACCCAAGGCTTTCTCAAAAGCTCTGATAAAGGGACAAAAGAAAGCTAGTTCTGTGTCTTGCCTGGGGCAGACTGGGCAAGGTCCAATCTTGGGCTGAAGCTTGGAGCTTTTCTCCCTGAAAAGTCTAGAGTTATCAGTTTCAGGCCACTGTGTGCTAAGTCTGCGATGTTCTTGAGATAGTCTATGCTCCCTTTGTGCAACATTGCTTGATTAGCCTCCTGCTGCCTTCATCCCATCATATGACAGTTTCTGCTGATGCTGCCCCATGTCTCCCCGGGAAACAGTATATAAAATGATGTACTTCTTAATAGGTTCGATTGCCATAAGCCACAGCTTATATAAAACTCCCAATCCCAAACTTTGATCACCTTATCCTCTGGCCTCCAGTTCTGTTACTGAAGAATAACCTGCTAGTCTGGATCAATGTACCAAAATACTCAAGACAAGTTATTATTTATATGGTAGCAGAGATGTTTTCTAACGTATATTTTGATATTCTCCAAGTTTTTTTTAGGAAACTCTTAACATTTTGTTTTTTTAATTATATTATATATTAGAATATATTAAAGAACTAAAACTACATGTAAAGAGCTATTTAAGATATAAAAATACAAAGCATTTAATAAAGAAAATTCGAGTGTTACAGCTTTGGAGAGAAAGGTATCCTGAGCAGCAGGGAAGTCAGGCGATACCTGGAGCTGCGAGCGAATGGACCACTCTGAAGGGAAAGGTATCCTGACTCATAATTCTGACTGGTAGGGAAGTCAGGCAATACTTGAAGTTGAGGTGTGCTGAAGGATGGTCTCCTCACAGGGTGTAGCAGTCCTGCTCCTCAGCTGAGCTATTTATTCTCTGTTTCCCTAAGGGAACCTCCTAAGGGAGCTCTTTTTCTTCTTCCACTGTTCAGCTCAGGCCCAAGATGTTACTTCTACTGCAGAAAGGTAGCAATCTCCTCCAGCTCAGGCAAAAAGTTACTGTCAATTCTGTTTTTTTTTTTTTTTTTTCTGCTCATCCGCCCCTAAAGGGAATGTCTCAGAAAGGAGTCCAGGAGTGGCTGCCTCTGCCAGGGTGAAGGACACCCTGTAACTGGACCAGCAGAGGTACTTACATAGGGCTTCTTAAGGGTGGAGTTTTCCCAGAGATCCCAGGGAGAAGATTTTTCTGCTCAGGGACTGGTTGGTTTTCCTGCTCAGGGATTGGTTGGTTTAGTTGGTTAGGGACAGAGTTGGCTCTTGTTTCAGAGCCAAACTATGTTTCTTTCACTGACCCTTCAGAAAGGAGACAGTTACATTAGCTTGAAATCCCATTTCCCTGGTGGCACCACAAAATGAAACATCAGATTTGCTATTCCTTAGAACTTAAACTGCCATGTGAAAAGGTGGCCTTTTCAGTAAGACAAAGTCAAAATAATAGAATTTAAATTTAGCATTCTGCCCTGGGTGTAGAACAAAACTCTTTGTTGTCTCCTTTTAAGAGTCAATACAAGGACTAGCGAGATGGCTCAGTGCTTGAGAGCACCAACTACTCTTCCAGAGGACAGGGTTCAGGTCCCACCATCCACAAGGTGGCTTGCAACTGCTAATTCTAGTTCCAGGGAACCTGGTG